TGCTCCTAGTCATGTTATCTCTTGTTTTTGTAATTCATTTCTTGGATTGTGGACTTTGTTCTTGTCTTTGGGTCTGCAAATTATTAAACCACTCACACAGGCTTAAATACGACTATAGTACTCATCCTCAGGTCCAGTAATTGAACCCATATTTCTGAAAGTGAAGTAATGAAGTTGTCCTAACAACACACTGGGTCAGTAACGTGATTAGTGGAGCTTGAAGAATACAACACACTGGGTTACTGTAGTTTAGTTCTGTTGTAAATTACACTGCACCTTGCTGTACGTGATGGAGTCAAACAGTGCATTTATGTCCTCTGGTCTCATGACGTCCGCCTCTTTGGATGAGAGGGGATGAGAAGAGGCCAAAGCGTCCACAGCCATCACACCAATGATCTCATTCAAAACTATTAAATCGCTCTGGAAAAGACATGGAGAAATATTTGCACTGTGTTCCAACCAGACGCATTATTAAATTTTAAATTGACCTCTGCGTAAAACAACAATAACAACAAAACGCACCATATTCCAGTCTGGCTCTGTGTAGTTGGCTCCAAGATAAGAGACGTAGGTGGCAAATCCCTCATTAAGCCACAAGTCATTCCACCACTTCGTGGTCACTAAGTTTCCAAACCACTGAGAGGACAAAGCTTCATGTCACTGTATTGGTTTGTAAACATATTTGAGCCTTACCCTATTTACAGTTAAGGTTTGTTAGGTACCATATGAGCCAGCTCGTGGGAGATGACTGTTGCCACCCACTCTTTATCTCCATTAGATGACACTGCAGGATTGTATAAGAGTGCAGTCTCTCTGTAGGTGATCAGACCCCAGTTCTCCATGGCTCCAGCACTGAAGTCAGGCAAAGCGATCTGGTCTGAAATTTATCAAAGACGTCATTTTTGGATTATATATGGTCCTTTTTGTTGTTGTTTTTCTAGGTATTTGTTGTTCTCACCTGACTTTTTAAGGGGGTAGGGAATTTTGTAGTAGTTCTCAAAGAAAGAAAGTATGGGTCCAGTCTTCTCCAGGGCATATTTACCCTGGCCCTCATCTATAGCCTTCCTGCGAGCCCAGATCCTGATCTGAAAAAGGGAAAACAGCTTTATTAACCAGACAGAAGGAAATGCATGTGGACCTGAGAGCTGAAGTGAGCTCTGAGTCCAGCAGAGGGCAGCAAAGAATCACTGTGACCAGCAGAGAGGGAAAACTGTCGTGATTATTTTCAGTTTAATACATTTCTTCCAAGAACTAATGCAGCAAATATTCTCTCTGAAAATAGCACCTATTATCTCTGATAGTTTACTTCAACATCCACGATTTATCCATTTCAGCCTATGCACCAGAATCCAGAGCAGAAATGAGCATTGCATATATTTTAAAATCTTTTATATGAGGCCTCACTGCTCTAATTTTAATTCAAACTGTCATGAGCACAGATCAACTTAAATTATCGGGCCTAACATAGACCAGAGATAGTAGTTTATTTATTTATTTTAATCTATTTAAAAGGAACCAAAAATATGAAATAATATGTTGCCATTTGTGATTCTAACTGAAAGCTTTAGTAAATACTCACCAAAACATCTGCACCTAGATCTGACTGAATGTATCCAAAGTCACACACAACAAAAGCCAGCAGGTAGGTTGACATAATCTCTGTGGGTCCAAAGCTTGTCTGGATTAAATCCAAACCATCCGGAGTGGTGATGTTTATAGGTTCTGTTTTGGGGTCAGAGACAGCGCCGTATTAATGATAAATGAGGAAAACAGAGGAAAATAGACATTTCTGATTGAAGCTGTAATGATAAGAGTGTGATAGCGATAGATTTGACACTAAAATATTAAATATACAGTAGTGAAATATTTTAAATAAAGTGAAATTAAAAGTGTATTTCTAAAAGTGTCACTTCAGTGAGTTTGCCTTAAAAATGACATGTCCTGTAGTTGGTGTCGGATAAAATGTAATTGAGATTAATTTAAAGTCGTCACACGGGGACAGCTGATACGTTAAATGTTGCTCTGAACACTAAACAAGAAAAGAACTTGCCATAGTTCATGGAGTTAGACAGAGCTACAGTCCCGTGGGGGTGAATGAGTGTCATGTGGAAGACGGCTTTCATAGCTGGTTCATCGAAGCAGGGGAAGGCTTTCCTCGCGTCCGTCGGCTGCATTTGAGTCGTGGCCAAAATTCTGATAGTGGAAGAAGAGAGAACATAATAATTACATCCACATAATCGAGTCAGGTGTTGAATTCTTTTTGACGTACTGGATTTTCTTTAAATGGAAAGTTTAAAACAAACTTGACCGTGACTTTCATTAAATCCTTATCAAGATGAGTGTTTTGTATTTTAAATCCTACACATATCAGCTTTAATTACAGAGGTCCAAAAGTAAAACTTAGTTTTGTATTGAATTCTTATTTGACTTCATTTCATAATATTAGTGGTTTTATCAAAACTACATTAGTTGATGTCCATGAATCATAGCCTGGCTGTGAAGGTGCTTGCATTTAGGCTGCAAGTGATCACATACAATACATACGGTTTTGTTTTTTGTTTTTTTCACTTTAATAAATCTATATTTAAATTACCATAAAGTGATTGTGATTACACAATTAAATCTTTACATTTTTAAAATGATTAAAAATGAAAACATCCAGTGGTTTGATTTAAAGTAAAGTTATTCTAAATGTATTAATTCATCCACTTACTTTTAAACTAGCGCACATCTGATATTTCATTAATGGTGGGAGAACAGTTAAAATCAAGGAGTGGCTATTAGGTAACACTCAGATGCAACATTCTTAAATTTGGGAATGAGGCAACTTGTTAGACATTACAAATGAATTTGTGAGCTTTTAGCTGTTTCCCCATGTTTACAGTCTTAATTTAACATTCTGTCATTTAAATTTTAGAAAGAGCAGAGGACTTGTCCAACTTGCAACACTTTGCTCATTTGAATCATGTCATGAACTTAAGCTTAATAAAAAAAAGAAGTTCATACTTTTGCACGCCGTCTTCATTATATTCACTCCTGTAGAATCCTCCCAGGTCATCGGCCAGCTCTCCGACAAACTCTGTGAAGAGCTCATAAGTGCTGCCGGCCTGCAGAGGGCTGCTGAGCTGGATCACCAGATACTGAGTAGGAACCTCCAGCCAACTCTTTTTCAGCTGGGGTGCAGAAGCTCCATCCACAGCTTTCAGCTGTGCGTGGTATCCGTCAAACATTGTGAAGTTCAGCTTGTTGGAGTGGATGAGAATGAGGTCAGTCTCCTTCACGCATGTGAACAGCACCGTGGAGTATCCGCTGAAGATGTAGAGGCCATCAGGGTTGGGAGTCAGCCGGGGCCACAGGGTCACATTGTATGAGATAGGAGAAAATGAATCTGGAAGTCTGTAGTGCTGCCAGGGCTCTTTTGGGGTGGAGGGTGTGGTGGTCTGGGTGCCAGGTCCAGCAGTCGTTGTAGTCGTTGTAGTCGTCGGAGTCGTCGGAGTCTCTTGATTCTTTGATTTCTCCTGAGCATAAACAACTGAGAGGGCTATGATGGTGGCCACAGCACTGATGGCTACAACCACGCAGACCACTGCCACCGCTTTGCTGATGAAGAAGCCTTTACCCATGTCTTCACCAGAGAAGAAGAGAATGACAGAAATTAGAGAGTGATTGTAATTTATATCCTACCTTGCTGGATTCAAAGTTAATGATTCATTTCCTGGGCGGAGAAAATGTCCTGAAGTCAAAAATATTGAGTTGTAAAAAGTTCCAGCGATAAGAGTAAGCTCTACTAATCTTTAAACTTTTTATCTGCATAAAGGCTCTGAACAAAGGCCCTCTGTAGAAACTGGCCTGTTTCGTCTCTGTGTGTTGTAAACTATGTGGTGGGAGATCTGCGGCAGAGCCTCCTATGTGTCTGTCTGCATATGTGTCTGTGCATAATTTTCAAACGTCAAGTCAAGAAGCCAAAATTACATAATGAAATAGGCTAAGTATGGGTTTACACAAGGCCATAAACTTTTATTTTTTCCCGAGATGCTGTGAAAAATCTAAATTTACTCCAGCTAAGTGACTGGAGATGTTAAAAAAGAGAGAAATTGTAGGGTTAGAAATGAAAACACATGCCTTTTAGATTAGTTCCACAGTATTTTGTTGAATTTCTGGATTTAGGTCAACAAGGAGAAGGAGAAAAGCAAAAATGAGTGTCACTTAAACAAAGCATAGGTATACTGTTGGCAACATCATTTCAGCGCAAGTGAGTCATGTATCTTTAAAAGTTTACTGTAATAATGAGATGTGGTTTATGAGTCAGTCAGTGCTGAGAAGCAGCTCAGCACCGCTGTAGTTACTACATCACCCACGCCACACCCAGGATGCATTCATTCAGGTTGTTTTGCCACCAACACAGGGTGATGCATTGCAAAGCAAAATAGTACTGTGATCACATTACATTTCTCTGTAATACAGCTAATATAGCTATTATGATATCATATTACATCAACAAAAATCTTAGTAGTCACATCTGAGCTGCTTCAGATCCATGTGACATAATGTGTCACATGGGTCTGTTTCTAATGGCCTAACAATGCAGGAGTCAGAATAAAGGCTTACAGAATCGGTGTTGGAGTAGCTGATCCCCATCTATAAATATTCACTATTCATTGAGGCACAACTTTATTTTTATTCCATGTTATTTGGCGGCTGTAGAGCATGCATATGCCACACAGTTCTTTTCATAACTGCTGCATATTAAACAGCATTTGTGTTTATTTCACAACGGTTTTGTAATGTTTTCCCGTATGTCCGCAAAAAGGCAAAACTCTGCATTCAAGGCTCCAGGAGCACTGCATGAGAAGTCCAGCAGCATGTTTATTTAACTTGAGCGATTTTCAATTTTTTCTTACTTATCATCACCAAATCCCATAAGTTTCACAACCAGAAAGTTGTTTCTGGAAAGTGAGAGTGTAATCATTTTTCTTCTCTGTCACTGTTTTTAATAAACTGGTTCCCATATGTTCAAATATTATCCATTGTAACTGTGAATCAAGGGAGCTTAACATATTTATTGCCATTCATTGTTGGTTTTGGCCTTTTAGTGATATTTGTCAGCTGGAAAATGTTGTGGTTTTATCTGCAAAGGATGGCAACGTGCTGTCACCATCCACTGAGGCAGATCAA